AATTTTCCATATTTGCTATTTCCAATAACAAACTCCATAGATTTCCAATGGATCTGCAATACTTCGATTATAACAACTTTTTCACATTTGCTACTTCCAATAACAAACTCCATACATTTCCAATGGATCTGCAATACTTCGATTCTAACAAATTTTCCACATTTGCTAGTTCCAATAACAAACTCCATACATTTCCAATGGATCTGCAATTCTTCGACTATAACGATTTTTCCACGTTTACTACTTCCAATAACAAACTCCATACATTTCCAATGGATCTGCAATTCTACGATGGTAACGATTTTTTCCACATTTGCTCCTTCCAATAACAAACCAAATACATTTCCAATGGATCTGCAATACTTCGATTATAATGATTTTTCACATTTGCTACTTCCAATAACAAACTCCATACATTTCCAATGGATCTGCAATACTTCGATTCTAACGATTTTTCACAATTGCTACTTCCAATAACAAACTCCATTCATTTCCAATGAATCTGGAGTACTACGATGGTAACGATGTTTTCCACATTTGCTCCTTGCAATAACAAACTCCATTCATTTCCAATGGATCTGCAATACTTCGATTATAACGAATTTTCCATATTTGCTATTTCCAATAACAAACTCCAAACATTTCCAATGGATCTGCAATACTTCGATTATAACGAATTTTCCATATTTTTCACTTCCAATAACAAACTCCATAGATTTCCAATGGATCTGCAATACTTCGATTATAACAACTTTTTCCACATTTGCTCCTTCCAATAACAAACCAAATACATTTCCAATGGATCTGCAGTACTTCGATTATAATGATTTTTCACATTTGCTACTTCCAATAACAAACTCCATACATTTCCAATGGATCTGCAATACTTCGATTCTAACGATTTTTCACATTTGCTACTTCCAATAACAAACTCCATTCATTTCCAATGGATCTGGAGTACTACGATGGTAACGATTTTTTCCACATTTGCTTCTTGCAATAACAAACTCCATTCATTTCCAATGGATCTGCAATACTTCGATTATAACGAATTTTCCATATTTGCTATTTCCAATAACAAACTCCAAACATTTCCATTGGATCTGCAATACTTCGATTATAACAACTTTTTCCACATTTGCTCCTTCCAATAACAAACCAAATACATTTCCAATGGATCTGCAGTACTTCGATTATAATGATTTTTCACATTTGCTACTTCCAATAACAAACTCCATACATTTCCAATGGATCTGCAATACTTCGATTCTAACGATTTTTCACATTTGCTACTTCCAATAACAAACTCCATTCATTTCCAATGGATCTGGAGTACTACGATGGTAACGATTTTTTCCACATTTGCTCCTTGCAATAACAAACTCCATTCATTTCCAATGGATCTGCAATACTTCGATTATAACGAATTTTCCATATTTGCTATTTCCAATAACAAACTCCAAACATTTCCATTGGATCTGCAATACTTCGATTATAACAACTTTTTCCACATTTGCTACTTCCAATAACAAACTCCATACATTTCCAATGGATCTGCAATACTTCGATTATAACGAATTTTCCATATTTTTCACTTCCAATAACAAACTCCATAGATTTCCAATGGATCTGCAATACTTCGATTATAACAACTTTTTCCACATTTGCTCCTTCCAATAACAAACCAAATACATTTCCAATGGATCTGCAATACTTCGATTATAACGAATTTTCCATATTTGCTATTTCCAATAACAAACTCCATAGATTTCCAATGGATCTGCAATACTTCGATTATAACAACTTTTTCCACATTTGCTACTTCCAATAACAAACTCCATACATTTCCAATGGATCTGCAATACTTCGATTCTAACAAATTTTCCACATTTGCTAGTTCCAATAACAAACCAAATACATTTCCAATGGATCTGCAATACATCGATTATAATGATTTTTCACATTTGCTACTTCCAATAACAAACTCCATACATTTCCAATGGATCTGCAATACTTCGATTCTAACGATTTTTCACAATTGCTACTTCCAATAACAAACTCCATTCATTTCCAATGAATCTGGAGTACTACGATGGTAACGATGTTTTCCACATTTGCTCCTTGCAATAACAAACTCCATTCATTTCCAATGGATCTGCAATACTTCGATTATAACGAATTTTCCATATT